AAGACTTCCCTTCAAAGCAAGGCCGACCCTAACATGGCCCTACATGAACAAGAACCTAGTACGTGCCCCCGTAAAAATGATCCGTCTTAGTCTGCAACATCCTCTGATAACAAGTAGCCGCCGTGAACCTCGAACCTGGATCTCGAGATACATTCTCACTGCGAAGCATTCAACACAAGGACCGGGAAGGAAAGCTCATCAGTAAGTCACCAGTCACAATCATTTTTGATGGGAACTGCACTCTAACCCAGCAATAGCCGATCCCGATCTCTCCAATCCAACACGCAGCCGACTCGAGCGCCCACTTGACACTATCCGATCGTTCGATGCCGCCATCGACGCACATCGCAAACAACAACGCATGTGAACGAGGGATCAAGACCAAATGGTCACCAGAACGCAACGAAGGAACGCTTTGTAATACCAATCTCAATTCGAACGTGGGGTGTTGATGTATAATTATTGTGTGTATAATGGAGTCATGGGAATAATGAAATTCGACGTTATTGTGCTTTCGACCGTTTTCGATCTAGAAAGCGTACCAGTTTCATATGAAGATGAGCGAGGCGGTAGAAGTTCTGTCGCTGACATATGACCAAGTTACATGTGAATTCTGCTTTCAAACCATAAACCTATTGGGATTCCCAAGAGACATCTCCGATAAATGCAGGGCATCACCTTTTTGGTCATTGGGTTCTGTACAAATGCAAACCCATGATTGCCACTTGGGCGAATCTTAAAAGAAAGCTATAGTTACAAAGTCGATTAACTTACGACATGAGGTCCCAACAAAATCCATATCTCTGCACAAAGTACCATACTGTTAAGAGAATTCCACTGGGCTATAATCTTTCCAGAAATTTCCACACGTGGCTATCTTCAAAGGGCAGTCATCCAAACATCGAGCAAAGTTTGGCGCTGCAAACTTATCTATATAGAAGAACGGAGCCGATTACCGGAAGCCGGGCTAAATAAATTCCAGATATGGTCGAAGTAATGTAGAATCGGAGAAAACCCGACATGATCTACATGTAGATCTTTTCTAGACTAAAGTGGCCCGAACTATATAGCGATTCCTAAAGATACTTCTACAGGCATCGTCAGTTTATAAGTCAATTATTAAGCTGTTATTTTTCGTATTCATATGAAGTATCCATACTCCGCACCACTCAAACCTTTGCCACTGTCACTTGTGCAAATGACAAAAGGAACAATCGCAAAATAAATACTTATGCAAAGGCAATTTCAGTGGATCAATCATGCAGAGAAATCATTGACGTGATCCAACGTGCGTAGTTTTCTTTGGTTATCTTCTCCTACCAAGCAATGCCGTAGATAGACTATAGTCTCAGATTGCCTAGCGCCGAATAAAATTAGATCATTTCGACAGAGAAAAAAAGTTCGTGAAGGAGAAAAAAAAAGCTAAGTGCCGGCGCTATCCTAACAAGCCCCACCACCACCGCGTCAGCCGGATATTTTCGATATTTTCTCTCTTTTTTTTTCACTTCCATTCGTTTGGGAATACTATATTCTTATTTTATTACTGTATGACCTTTGGTAGCTGCTTATTCTGACATGGAACTACGGAACTGTATATCTAAATATTTGTGTAGGTCGATATAGAACTGCAGACTATGTAAAAGCCAAGTCCAATCAAATTGTGTGGAGTCCCGTTCCTCTTTCTAATATTATTCGCTCGGACTACATGAACCGATTCGTTTTAAAGCCCTAATAATGCTTTATTTTTCAGATAGAGGGAGACTTATCTCCGGCCTGAATTGACATGGCGCCAGTGGCCTAAGCCTATTGAACAATGGCTTCCAGGCACTTGACCATATTAGGCCCGTTAGCTCGGCTATACGCGTCCTTTTTATAATTTCAGGTAAATAGAATTGGACTATCTGACACTATTAATATTACTCCGTACTATTAATGGATTTGAAGTCCATGGATCCCCCATCTTTGGCTTTAATTCTCTCATTTCGCTGTTCCCTCGTTTGACTTCTTCTCTCTGTTTCCTTTCAATCCAATTATCCCAACTATATCCACTCGCTATAAATCTTTGCGGTATTACATCCGCAAAACGAAAACCAATCTTCACCATGAAATTCTCATTGGTGGCGCTGGCAGCCTTGGCTGGGGTTGCCGTTGCCGATTTGGATCCCATCGTCATCAAGGTACAAACCTCTATATACATGTACAGAAATCATGATATATTCCAGTACTAAGGCTATCAATAGGGCTCCAAGTTCTTCTATTCTAGCAATAACACTCAGTTGTACGTCCAGATAGGCTGATGTCTCTTGAGTTCATTGACTAACGATAACAGCTTTATGCGTGGAGTCGCCTATCAAAGTAGGTCATTCATGCCATCAATTCAAAATCTCAATTAACTGTTTCAACAGAGGAAAGTACGAGTAGCAGTGGCTACACTGACCCTCTCGCCGATGCCACCGCTTGTGCGCGTGATGTTCCTATCATGGCTGAGCTGCGTACCAACGTCATCCGTACCTATGCCATCAACGCTTCTGCTGACCACTCGGCGTGTATGAAGCTCTTGTCTGACGCTGGTATTTACGTTATCTCTGATTTGTCCGATCCCAATCAATCGATCGATCGAAGCGATCCTTCGTGGGAAACCGATCTCTTTACCCGATACACCAGTGTCGTCGATGAACTTTCCCAGTACAACAACACTATTGGTTTCTTTGCTGGAAATGAGGTTTCCAACACTGTCGCTACTTCCGACGCCAGCGCTTTTGTCAAGGCTGCTGTTCGTGACACCAAGAAGTACATCAAGGAGAAGGGCTACCGCTCTATGGGTGTTGGATATGCTACCGCCGATGTGTCCGCTATCCGTGCGGACATGGCTGACTACTTCAACTGCGGAGACTCTGATGACACTATTGATTTCTGGGGATACAACATTTACTCGTGGTGTGGTAATTCTACATACGCTGAATCCAAATACCAAGCTCGTACCGAAGAGTTCGCCAATTATTCCGTCCCTGTCTTCTTCGCCGAGTACGGTTGCAACGAGGTCACCCCCCGCGAGTTCACTGAGGTGAAGGCCCTGTATGGCGATACTATGGCTGAGGTCTGGTCCGGTGGTATTGTGTACATGTACTTCCAGGAGGCCAACAACTACGGTAAGAAGAGTGTTCCTTTCACGCATATAGGCGAAGATAACTGATTCGAGTCGCAGGTCTGGTTTCTGTTGTCGATAGCACCAGTGTCAGCACCATGGCGGACTTCAAATACTATTCCAGCGAGATCGCCAGCGCAAACCCCACTGGTGTCAACAAGGCCTCCTACACTCCCACCAACACCGCCCTGCGAAGCTGCCCTACCGTCGGATCCGCGTGGGACGCCAAATCCTCCCCTCTGCCCCCTGTTGCCGATGTCGATCTGTGCGAGTGCATGTATGATACTTCCGGCTGCGTTGTCGCCGGATCCCTCTCCTCCACCAAGTACGCCAAGCTGTTCAGCACCGTCTGCGGTTACACCGACTGCAGCGGACTGACAGCCAATGCTACTACCGGCGAGTATGGCGCTTACAGCATGTGCACAACTAAGCAGCAGCTTGCCTTTGCTTTGAACAAGTATTACGTTGAGCAGAACCGTGCTGCTGATGCTTGCAGCTTCGACGGATCAGCGACTGTCAAGGCCACTACCAAGGCCACTGGCACTTGCTCTACACAGATGAAGGAGGCCGGAACTGCCGGAACTGGAACTGTCACTACCGAGAATACTGCCACCGCTGGCTCTAACTCTGCTTCCTCGACGGCCTCGTCGACCACGTCCAGCAGCGGTGCCATCGGCTTGCACTCCAGCTCATCCTTCGGCTCTTTCCAAGTGGCTGCCTGCATTACCACTGCACTGCTGGCAGGCGTTGGAATGATCGCTCTGTAACTGAGTTGATCTTGGCTCGTGCATCCTCGTCGCATTTGGACTACGCATCTCTTTTCCCTTCTTTTTGCAACACTCTTGAACACAATCCTTGGAGCAAGGCATGATCAACATAGCTAGTATATAGCACTATGTACATCATGACTTGATTGATATTATTTCTGAAAGAAGTCGATATTTTATTGTCAAGATTGAATTTGATTTGTATACCATTTTCTCTAAACCTTTCTTTATTTCAATTTCCCTTGTTTCGATTCATAATTTATCCCTATCCGCAAATATGTTTTACGGCGACCCAGTGGATTAATTTTATGACCTTCAAGGCTAGGGGAGCTTTATTCCAAACCGTCATAGCTATTATAATATCGATCGTTCTATCCACAAGGCTACAGGCAATATGTTCCTCTGCTATCCATGTGATAGTTGGTATAATGTCTTCAAATATCCGACAAAAGGAAGCCCCAAGAGGTTCCTTTATCACTGTTGGGGGACTGCTGCTAAGGTGGAGAGAAAACACAAGAAGAATCCCTAAAGTACTCAACCTAGACAACCAGAGTTTAGATACTCTGTAAAAGCTATCCGAAGAAAGCTCAGCCTGTCAGCAAACATTCATACATGGGACGCTGTAGGGGGATCCCACCAATTACTATTCATGAGCCACAAGGTTCAATTGCTATATAGCCTTCAACAATTATATCGGTATACTCATGTAATCCTGTGTCTGATCATTGATTGGTTATGGCGATAGTGCGCATCACGGACCCCTTCATTCAACACATTATTTCATGTTGTAATCGTGTTGTTGCATGACCATCCGCCTCCTCCAGTCCAGGATGGCAAAGCAGACCATCCAATCCCTTCGATATCATTAACGGAAAGATAGTTTCTCTCTACATATTACGCCAACTTTCTTAGTTGCCCATCTCCTATCGCCGCCTTAGCATCTCAACGAAAAGTATGGATCTGCTCACTGTTTCGTTTTGTTTTGTACAGAATCGATATCTGGTTTATTAGACATGCCAGGGAAGTCATCGAGCCTCAAAGCTAGTTGATAATCAAAGATTATGTACGGATGTTATTTGCTGAAGTACTTATTTATATCCTTGAAAGGAATCACCCCTGGACTCTTGCCAGGTCATATCCTGTTGAACTCGGATTCCATTCAACGGTACCTTATCCTCAGACCCATCGTCGGCATGGGACACATCCAGACGTACTTTCATTTTATTACGCGGCTCATTGGCCGGCCGTAGGGTAGAATTGTCCAACTCATAACCTGTAGAACGGTTGACATCGGTCGTTCGTGTTTTTTGGGTGCCAGACTGGCTGGAGAATTTGGATGAAACCATCAAGAATAGCGGACGCAGGGTCGGCATACAGGCGGATATAATACCCGTTGAGGATTCAACGATACACCAGGTGCAAGAGTTTCCGAGTGTCCAGGCAATATCCGTTGGGTTGAACTGAAAAAGGGTAGTAAAACGATAGACACTAGTGAAGATAACGCTATGCAGAAGAATCTAGTCAGTCCACTGTCACAAACTAGTAACGATATGTAAGGAAGGGGCACACTAACAAACTACCCAACAGGAAGATTCCAATGACGGACAATCGGTGCGTGATACTTGCGTGTAGTCCCCATACCACCCGTACCGGGAGAGACAGAATGAGAATATCGGTGATAATGTTAGGTACTGCGTTTCCGATAAACGAGGCTTTGAGGTTGATACAGGTGCCGGGAATACGGGTATCCCAAGCTCGCGCAATCGGTGTGCATTGGAAAACGCTCACAAGGATAATAGCCATGCCCCACGCGATCGATATCCCACCCAAGATGATCGAGGCAACGCGGATTTCTCTCGTGGGGAAGATGCGGCAGTACATGAGCAGAATAGAAACTTTGGTGATCGCTATTGTTGTAACGTAGATGCACTCGAATATCACCAGGAGCTATGTACATGGATATCAGCGGAAGTGTCAACCTCAATCTTCTATAATTTGAATCGAACCTTCGCAATCATTATAATATTTCCCGTCGGAAGGGTCTCCGAATGTGTCCCCATGCCATAATTGACTACTATTGAGGGTTAGCATCGGAATCAAGAACCCCCTCCCACGGCCAAGGGAAATATGACGTACAGGCTAACATCAATCCAACGAGAGTTAAGAAAGGAACCAAAGCAGCCAGGATAACATAATCATCGGGACCTGGCTGCAGGGACTTCTTCCACCGTGCCAAAAACCGTAAAATCACAAACACAACGCCCAGGGCAGTCATCGCGATCGTCCCGGCCCGATATGAGCCTTGGTAGCTGTCCTGGACATTGGTTGTGGTCATCGTGTTTTGACCTGCAAAACAGGTGAAGACTAAAACATCTTTTGGGCCTGATGCAGCGACATTTTTTTATTTAAAGAGAAGTGGTTTTTCTTACACCCCCAATTCTCCAAACAGACGGGTCACAAAAGATCCACTTTCAAGTGTCAGGATTCATTTCTATATCCACAGTTGAGCGGCAGTCCGTATAGCTAACTTTTACTATTGCAACTAGTACTATTACGGAGTACACCCAAACGAAATTCGAGGTGCTTTGGTGGATCATTATTGTAAAATAGGGCTAGCTCTGTTCGCTTTTTGCACAGGGGGAAATTCATGGTATTTCTCCGGTTCGTCAACAATTAAATTAATTCCACGTTTAAAGGTTATTCTGTCAACATTGTACGGAGTAGCTACAGGGGTTAATATGCTTGTTTGGACATGAGGTCTTAAAGTGGTGCAAGTTTCACCTCGTACCAAGTGATAGTAATATCATAGGCAACATTGCATGAAAGCCAGTTTCTTTCTAACCAACTGTGCGCATTTGAGAAATAAATACAACCAAATTGGCAGTGGAAAAAATACCTACGTAGAACAGGGAGAAGAATTGCCGATACAATCCATTTCGGGAGGTTGTACTGAGGACCCCATATATTCGTCGTATAATATATGATCTGCACGTCAACTTTTTACAGCAAATCAGAAACCAAAAACAAAAAACAGGTGGGAAAGGGTGTGTGTGTCCTCCAGTAAAGAAAGATGACCTTCTACATAACAATAATTGCAACGTGGGGCGAATCTCCGTCTAGCTAATTATGGATTGATGCGCAAGGCATTTCCAAGATTGGAAATTGCTACTCCGTACTTCGTAGCCATAGGTAGCCGACTACCGCATGGATACTGACTTTAAATACCAATCGGGGCCCTTTGGCGCAATCTCCGGTCGCTCTAACGGTTTCGCTAGTGAAACCGAGAGCCTATAGCAAGGCGATTCTCAGCCGCGCTCCACCATTGGGGCCAAACAACCAAAACCGTTAGGGAAAAAAGATGATAAGAATAGATTGAAAGGGCCAATCGTTAAGCGTAGCAAGGGAATGCGGATGCGGACACGGAGTATGGACTGACTGCCTAGTTCAGTGCATGGAAAGGGTGATCATTTCACTGGGATTTGCTGATACACCAGATCCACGTTGGACGTAAATTTATTCATATCTCCCCCAAACACAAACAATTGCAAGATAAATTACAAGATAAATTACAAGATGGCCACGTCTGAAATCCCAGTCTTTGTCTTTATCCCAGGCGCATGGCATGCAGCAGACACATTCGACGTTGTGCGGGATCTGATGCACAAGCGTGGACTTGCAACCGAAGCTATCTCTACTCCGTCTGTGGGCGCATTTACTCCAGATAAGGGGCTACACGCCGATATCGAACATACCCATGCCGTCCTTAAAGAGATGGTAGAAGCTGGTCGCCAGATCATAGTCGTGAACCATTCCTATGGCGGGATGGTCGGGGCCGGGGCTGTTGAAGGCTTGGGGTACTCGCAGCGGTGCAAAGTCGATCTTCCGGGCGGCGTCATCATGGTAGTGTGGATGGCTGCATTTGTGACGCCCAAGGGCAAATCATTAAAGGACATGCTGGGCGGAATCTTCCCTCCCTGGATGGTCATCAAGGTGAGTAGTTCACTTCGTTTATCCCCCATTTTCCTCTTTTGTCTTCGCACCTGACGAACCACATATAGAGCCCAGATGACGGTTTCTATTGGTCCTCTGGAGAAGAGACAATATTCTATAACGACATGTTCCCTGAAGAGCAGCAGAAGGCGATTTCCAAATTGAAGTCGCAGACGCAGAAGTCGTTCCATGAACCAGCGAAGCATGAACCTTGGCATGAGATACCTAGCATGTATCTGTTCTGCGACAAGGATGGAGCCATCCCGTTGGCTGGGCAAGAGAGCTTTGCTCAAACTTTGGGCAATCCAGTGACTTACCATGTCGATGGGTCTCACTCCGCGTTTCTGAGCATGCCTGAAAAGGTGATTGATGGGTTGGAGATTGCGTTGAAGGAAGGCCGCCAGCGGAGTGGGATTGCCGCCAACTAAGCTGAATGATGCATTGATAATAGTCAATCATTTGATCAAGAAATCATAGACGAGATTGATGTTCAATGACTTGGAGTAGAGATGCTGTCAACCTGGATTATCCAAATAATTTCACGATCTGTATTCCTATTTTTCAGCCCTCATTCCGGTCGATGCTTCGAGGTGTAGACATTCAAGATAAAACTGTCGTAATATCCCAGTGCGTGCTAGACGATGGTGGTTTAATTACATGTTACAAAACTAGGTGATTAATGTAATACTAGAAAGTTCGTCTAGCGTAAAACCAGGGCAAATATAGATTTGGATCATTTTTCGCCTTTCTTTCCTGGTGTCTCATGTCAAATTGTTGCTCGACAGGCTAGACGAGGCCAAGTCTCCATCAACTTCGTCTGAAAGGTTCTATTTCCAGGCAAATCAATACACACTCGCTAGAAAAGGTTAGCCCAATCCTTTCTACGCATGTCGGTAACTAGCTCATTTACCATAGTTATCAGACTCCTGGTAGCGCTCAGCCGGGGCAGGTGGAAGGGTGTACACGGCATCACCATTGCCGCTGTTGTAGTGCCTGCTGCCGTCTGGGTTTGAATAGTAGTAGGAACCATCCCTGATTTGTAGGAAATGCATGTCGATCGCATCCAACCACCAGAAGAGATAAATAAACACCAAATAGGAATGTGAGTATCACTCACTGGTTGGAATAATGGTAGCAGTTGGAGTTGGATACGTCCGAGCCATAGTCACGGGAGCAGTAGTGGTTACCCTGACAATCAGTAAGAGTAGATTTGGATGTTGGTTCTTGACTCACCTAGCTGGTAGTACCACAGTTCTTGTAAGAGTACCAGTTATTATAGCTATCGTAAGGCATTATGACGGTTGTTCGAGTTTGATTTCGAGGGGGAAGTATGTGGTTTTGAAGAATGGTGCGATAGATGATGGGAGAAGAAGAAGAGAAGAAGAAATAGGGCGAGGAAGTATTGGAGGTAACGGGATTGGCAAAAACACCTATATAAGATTCTTTTGCTACGTAATGATAAGCCGTCAACTCTACATGTTTACCCATATGCATATCCACGGATGTATGCATAAAGAACTTATATCTTTATCGGTACCTGTATCTAGACTCTGTTAATATAAGCTGAACCTTGTAGACTTGCTGTCAGATCGCTGAAGGAGTCTTTTCTATTGTATTTCGGTTTGTATGAGAAATAGCATTGCCGGGTATATATGGATAGATGAACACGCATTTGACTTAGTTATCACTGGCGACGTTTAGCGCACTGCTACTTTGAATCCCCGCCTATCCTTAGTTTGAGTGCCATTTGATCTCTCTAGGTAATGGTTCTTTTTTTATTGTTTAGTTTGATATTGATCATTCTCTGACTCTAGCTATACTAGCAACCTCTAAACCCGCAATTTCCGAAATTTATTGAGTCTCCACAGGCCGTACTTCGCGATGGTGACTGTTCCGATCACACACCCGTACTCCAAAAAGGATTACGAATGCCGAAGTACTCTCTTCAAAGAAGTTCACCACGTTCATTTCAAAAAGGCCGGCTACAAAAGTTGACACAGCGAATCCCAGCATACAGATCCCCAGTTGAACCTCAAAAACCAGGATGTGATTTCGTTGCACAGCTAAGATCGACTCAATGGTCTCTGTTATGCGCTCTACGTCTCCTATTAGAGCACTTGCAGACTCCACAATTGCGTCTGTGTTTTTGTAATATGCCTCGAGGAGATATTCTACTTGGAGGTGATCGTCTACCTCATGCGGTTGACCTGCCTGGCGATCCGTCAAGAACATAGTCACCATATCTCGGTCGTTTTCAAGAATTTCCCGTAGCGCCGAGCGAAATTGGCGGGCACGCCGCTAAATGGCCACGAGCCTTTTTCTATGATCCTGCAACCCGCGGAGAACAGAGTAGACAACATCTTCTCTTTTCGAATCCCGCAAAATATCTTCGACTTCTCGGCGGATGAGAATATGCTCAGCTTCAAAAGAGGGAATTACAGAGGCAAGCGCTGCATCCACTATACGTAGCTCAAATGGGAGTTTTGCCAAAACACCAGATCCAGGACCCCGTCAGAGTCTGCTCTGAAGGTCTGCTATGAAGACATTCTGCACCTTTACATGGCAGTCCTCAATTGGGAGAAGGAAAAGAAGCACTCCTTGTGCGCGAACGAGGAGTCGTAAAGTGAACATGCTAATAAACATGACGGACGGACGGACCAACAAATGTGGGATTCCCTCTGAGATAAGGTCCACGTTGTGTAGATCCAGACCATCTAATCCCCACTGTTTGGCCAGGTCATCTCTGATTTTTCGAACTTCAGATTCTTTGATAGAGCCATCGCGGCCCAAGACCATGCAACGCAACTCTATCGCCCCTATTGATGGGCTGTGGGTTGGGTTGGGCTTTGCGGAACACTATACGTGAGAGAGAGAACCTTGAAATGGATAACCTACTTAATTTACATAGTGTTTGAACTGAATATCAAACGAGGAAGATATTTCGGTAGTGTTCAGGTGGTGTTTAGGTGGTGTCCATTCGGGCGAGGTCATCTCGGTCTTCGTCATCGTGAACTTCCATTTTGGGACTAGTGTCGGCCGAATGCTGAGTCACCCATCGATGATGCCCTGGGTGCTGAACAATCGATCGAAGAACGTACAAGCGATTGATCATACATATAGCAGGCTTGTGAAACAAAAACTAACTTCAGTATGAATACCTCGACATTATTTCTTCTTCTCTTCTATCCATTCTACACTTCACGGTGATTCTCCCATCTCCGCTAACATCCAACTTTCCAACCCCAACCATGGTCAACATCCTCCAGCCGAAAATCGATCCCTTGCCTACGGGCATTGATCTGATAGGTAAAACTGTGGTGGTTACCGGTTCCAGCGCTGGAATGGGTCTAGAAACCATCAGACAGCTACTGCGACTGCGCGCCTCGACTTTGATTCTCGCCGTCCGCAATGTCGCCAAAGGTGAGGCCTGCGCAGCTTCCCTCCTCCAGGACTGTCGCATTCAACCTCACCATCCTAATCCGACTATCAAGGTCATGGCACTTGATGTTGATGATTACAACAGCGTCCAACGTTTCACAAAGCAGCTTCGCCAAGAGATTCCGGTGGTTCATCTGCTCATTCTCAATGCGGGTATCGGTCTGCTGAAGCTAGAACGCAGCCCGAGCGGCCATGACCGAACCACTCAAGTCAATTACTACTCCAACGTTTTGTTGATCGCAGAGCTCCTGCCGTATCTTGAGGCCGGTGCGGAGAAGACCGGCTTTCCTGCACGCATTAGCTGGGTTGGCAGCCGCGCACACGAGTCCCCAAGCCTCGAGAAGAAATCTCCTGTCAAAAATGGCGAAGGTGTACTTGCGCACATGGATAACGAAAAGGCGTTTGTCCGGTTCCAACGCTATGGGGATTCGAAGCTACTTTGCGTGTTGTTCATGTACAGTCTGGCGCCACGGCTGGATCCCAAGAAAGTCATCATCAACATGATGTGTCCAGGAATGGTCAATACCAGCATGAGTGATATTCTCCCCCTGCACTTGCGCTTGATTATAAATGTTGTCAAGTCGTTCCGTGCCCGGCCTGTTGAGGTGGGTGTCTGGATCATCCTGCATAGTGCGTTGGTGGTAGGCCCTGAGTCTCATGGCAAGTTCTTATCCGACAAGACCATCGCCGAGTAAGTGATCTTTTGCACTATTTCTTACAAGGGGGTTTTTTTTGCCCATAGCTAATGCATCGTCCGCTACAGTAAAACGGCGTTCATCCAGTCACCGGTGGGCCAGGAGATCCAGAAGAAACTATGGGAGGAGACAATTGCCGAGATAGGCACATTGACGACCCTTCCCACGGAGTTCAAATAGGCTACCCCGATGGTGTTCGGAGTGTTCCCAAGAGGTTGTAGATCACTTGTCTACCTCATCCAGGTGGAAGCCCTTAAGGCTTTAGTGTCTAGCACGAATCTATTCTAAGTATTGTAATGTTATTTACGAATGAGAGGAGCGAACGTTCCACATAGCAGATAGATGGGAAATGTAGATGGCCAAGAAGTGGAGAGTGGCGCCGAGGCGTCCGAGAGAGAGGGTACTTTGGATGATGGACTCGGTTTCAGGTTTATGCAGGTGGTTTAGATAGAGCGCGGCAGTAGGGAGCGACGAGAGATCAGCAGGATACTTCTCGCGCTATGACCGATTATTTATTAGGTTGCGGAGAGACCGAGACAGCCGAGTTCGCCGATGATTAGATATGTGGATGTTGAGAAGAATGTGAGAGCAACTGGTGGGGGCGGGACGGGCGGACACGTCGATACATTTATTCTTTCCTTTATGAGAAGAAAAGGAAACGCAAACAGAAGACAACCTATCATAGCGCTGTTACGCTGGGAAATCGAGCCCTTCATGCAGGCCACGGTGATCAGGTGTTATATTATCAATGACGAGGACCATGCCTCTAGATCCGAAATCGTAGCAAGAAAGCCCGTATCCAAGCCCGAATTACTCCCGTCCACAAAGGCAGTGTTAGGTGTACCTGGTTTGTTACCAACAACCACCAGGGGAGGTCCTGTAGTCATATATCGGGGTTGACAATTGCAGCTGGTACGAGCCCGAGAAGAGGATGCATTAGAAGAGGACTGGTGGGGTGTCGCGCGTAACACCGACGCCTTGGTAGCAAGGTGCGACGCAGGACAGCGGGTCTAAGGGTGGCTCACGGCCAATGGCAGCGGGGTTGGTCTTCAGCTTCGAGAGATGAGTCAAGGCGTTCATGAAGATCAACGAGAATTTGAATGGCCAATGGCATGCGTGTCTTGCTCGAATTGGAATCAGTGTCGCCGGGGCTGGTCCTTGTGGAGGACGAATCTGGATCTTGATACTGGGACACGCAGTGTTGTATAACCTCATCAACGCAATACCGGGCGAGCAGGGTCTCTCCAGACTCCGGGAAGGAATGGAGGTACACTAGGGTGATGAATACGCATTGGAGAGGCCCATAGTGACTGGAATAGAACCACGCGTATGGGGAGAACGCAGGTGCTTGATACAGCTGCAAGTAAATACGCAGGTAATCTACGCAGAGCTGCGCCATGCTGGACGGTCAAATCGTGTGTTAATATATCCGTTATAACAAAATGGTGATGAAGGATGAATGCGAATGAATAATAACTCAAGCTGGACAGGATGGGCTATATGAAGAGGATATGGAGCGGGATATACAATAGATTATGCAGGATAGGGATAAAATGTAGGCCGAAATAGTTCTTACCTAGTCCATGACTTGCGTGATTGCGCATTCGTACTCTCTGGGGGTCCCAAAAATGGCTTTTGGAGCAAAATGGATATTTCCGATTTCATCAATGTTAACATAATTCGCGTCCATGCCGCAAATACGGTCGGTTGGCTTGTATCATCCTTGTATAACGAGGGATGCGTGGACGGAGATGCATTAGCTAGACGTGATGGGATGTACCCCTTTTCGGGAATCCCCTGTGTAGGAACGCGCGCGATAAGTGAGTCAATATTCCGTATAAGCTCTTTGGCGTCTGTGACCAGCTCGCCAAATCCATCCTGGGTTGGTCCCTGCGCACTCTGCAGGTGCACCACGACCCTCGCTTGTAATCGAGCAGTCTGAAAGCGTCCAATGGCGTATAATATAGCGACCGACGGCCCTTTAGTCACGGAATCAGTGCTCGGGGAACTTCCAGCGGGGATATCGCTGGACTCTTGACAGTGAGTACCAACCATGCTCACGGCCTCCAAAGCCTCATTCCCACAACAGGGGGTCAGACCCGTGGAGATGGTCGACTGCACATCCAGCCAAACAATGTGCCACCAGATTCTACGTCGGATTTCTTTATCGGTGGAACTCAACGCAGACCATGTTCCCTCCCGATGTAAACCCATAGTCTGGGCAATGCGGACCGTCGTACTTATATGAACCAGACTACACATGGGCTCGAATGGCTGGCCCAGGAACGGTGCCGTGAACAAACTCGAAATTAGTGTATTTAATGTTGGATGTTCCAGGTGCTGACATAGAGAAAGACTCGTAGTATATGCCGACTTGAGGTGGCTCACTGTCGCCTCCTTCTGTAGATCCTGCAGATTTGGGTGCGCCCAGCTGGCGGCTGGCGCGGCAGATGCGCCACAATAGAGCGCTGCAAATAGAAGACATATCGAGGTAGGATCCTCCCGAAGTTTAGCCGGGGGTAAAGCGCTCTCGCTATTCCGACACCAATCCCAGAACTCATCATAGTCTGCCTGTAGGGAAGGTGGGTGTAGGAGTGGCACAAGTGGCCACACGGCAAGGAAGAACGTCTCGAGAAAGGCATCACTTGCGGGCTTCGTGGGTAGCGACCGTAGGAGATTAAACATGCCTATAGAGGATATATGTGGAAGAGGAAGACCGGGGTAGGCGTCACGGTTTTCGTCAAAGAAATCGTCGCTCAGACTCTCCTACGAGACGATCAATTGAGGTCAGCTATAGTCCTCCTGGGCGATATATCTAGTCGCAGATTGCAGTTTTTTTTGTCTTATCCCCCCAAGTCAGACTCACCTTTCCGGCCACGAACCCCCAGAAAGTCCGACCAATGTATCTCACGCGGCCACCTTGCCGTATGCTCAAATAATCACGGCAAAGGGGATCGTTGAGGGACGGGAAGTAGTTTGCTGATGGCATTGTGGAAGGCTCCCGGGTTATCGAGCTACCACCAATCCGAGGAACGCTCGCATCGCGATAACGGAGGAGTTGGATAGCCTCTTCCCATGAAGGACCCCTTGGAACTGTCGGATATGGTTCTTCTCGATCTGGGGAAGGACGAGAAGCAGGTCTGGGATGTATCTCGGAATATGGCGCATTGGGGCCGACACGCCAATGCGGCCAAGGGAGGTCAGGGTGGGTATCTGTAGAATCTCTAGGGTCTCTGTCTTGGGGCGGTACAGGTCGTACACGGCCGGTAGACTCATCCCGGACCACGGCCCTGTAGACACAATTCTCTTTCATGCGCACACAGTTGGCACATTCTGGCTGTTCGCGACCGCAGCGAACCTTGCGTCGTCGACAGACGATGCAACTGAGCGATAATCGGGGCTTTTTGATCTGGCGGGGTTCTGATAAGGGCATTTTTCAAAAAGGAACTCGATAATTGTTCAATTCCTCATGTGAGGGTGGGTGGCTTTTTGTTGGAATCACATTGGAGTTTGTCAGAAGAAAGATGACTGCCCATGGAGCTGCGAGGTTCGGATGTGATCCATTTAGCCGCAAATTAGATAAGTCACCAGTTGACCCTTTACAAGTTTGGAACAAACAGATATTTAGGAGAAACAATATATGAAATGAATATAAAAACAAATAATCGATGTGTGTGTATATATATATATATATGTAAGTGTAACGCACTCGCCACATCTAGAATAAGTAGTACTCAATAGTTTGGCCTATTCAGCCTACATTAGCCTAGGGTATTATTAAAGATCTCCAACAGACACTTTGAGCAGTCAATTTCAATTAGTGTTGGCTTTCTAGGTTATAAATTGCCTGGTTTCTCCAGAAATCTCGGCATAGCTCTCTTATCCCTTACCCATCTCCTCTCATAGAAGCAATACACCCACCCTGTTCAGAGCTCATCCTCTACATCTACATACCTACATGTATATATACTGGAAATGCATCGGATGTTATTTAGTGGCAATCCGTGAACACGAACGGCGCGAGCCATGTATCTTCCAGCCTTTCTCCCGAGGAATCTTCTGTCTTTGAGGGCCTTTGTAATATGCCTTCTTTCAACGTACTAGCAAACCGAGGGAATTCTAAAATCGTATGGACAGTAAATATAGTGATAGATAATTGAAGGACATGGAGAGATAGTTTGGATGGTTAATGACAATGTATGTTCTTTCTGGTTGTAAAGGGGTTAATTTCCGTCCAATTGGTCCCAAGTTAGTAGATACGCACCACAGGAGGCATAATACAACCGAAAACTGCATAGATCTATATCAATGCAGAGACATATTATCGAAAAAGTATCGACCAAGGAAATCTTCTTCTTTAGCAGATAGCTAATGTATCACGTTACAGAAGAGAGTTGAATGGGGATTATTTGTCCTCATTCCCAAATGGAGGCCTCAGGGTCTATAGTCCCGCTTAAACCCGAATTGAAGATACATCTCAACGGCAGCGCCGGCCTTGAAATTTATCCAGCTTGACCAGAATTCCCGCCGCACCTGCAGCTCCATATCCACCCTCCCTCCAGCAGGTCTCAATAATATCCCGGGCCTAGATTCGCTTTCCCAAAACAGGAAGGATATCCCGGGATGGAAACCTGGCCACAGAGTTGCCACCCCCACTGTTGTCATATAAGCTGATACTGGCCTCTCTCCCAGTGACAATCTCATAGAAGACAAGACCAAGTTGGCAGATATCCGTCCAGATGGAGCAATTGTACCCATCCACCCTATCCAGCATGATTGTACCGATAGACATGATACTCGACGCACCGAGGTCACATATTGCGAGGTTCAACGAACCATCCAGCAGAATGTTGCGAGTTAGAATATCACCGTGGATGATGCAATGTTGGTGAAGATTGTGAAGGCCGATTGTCAGCTGGTGGAACCAGTGCCTTTGAAGGTCGGCGCTGGGCCGTGCTCTGGACTTTAGCCACTTAGAAAGCGTACCTCCGGACATGTATCTCATCTCGATAGTATCTCCACGGAGGTCAAGACAATGGACGATGCCTTACACTGGGCTATCAAAGTTAGGCTGAATGCGGCGCCAGACTTCTTGCTCTCACCGGATTTTTCTGCGGTTCTCTTCTACCTTCTCCAACGTGTCATGCTTGTACACAGTCGTCATTTTGATTGCCGCGTCCTCCCGATGGACAACTACTGCTGCATCGCTGGTGTCGAGGATTGTATGTGGCTTGATGTAGTGACCCTCGTCGTCGATGAAGTGATTCACAGCGTTCATGTTTGGTAAAGGAAAGTAACTGTAGTTGGTCATTAATCTTTCATTTAATACGTAGATAGGAGTGGATATCCTGAGCAACGGCTCCTTTTTCCGAGCAGGCCCAAGCTGGCATATAGAATTGTTAGCTTGAATAGTTCGGTCGGAAGAAGAGGTCATACCTGTCGAGGTTGTGTTTATTTTGGTTTTCCGTGCGAGGGGAGGGCCACAGTTTGGAGACCGGGTCTTCCATAACCAGGGAGGAGGCTCTCTAAGAAGAATAGAAGAAATCCGTAGACTGAAAAGCTAGAATTTCGGGGCTATTAGATTGGTTAGACTGGGATTATGATCGTTTGGGAATGCTTGAAGGTAGTTGACTTTTGTTTAGCACTGGAAATGAGAGTCTTGATGTTATGAGGGGACAGGTGGCCACAAAGAAAGGAAAGCAAGATGAAAGGAAAGTGAGATTAATGGAAATAAGACGGCTGCATTGGATTGAAGAAGATTTGAAGATGAAGACTTCATATCTGTCTGATTGTAGCCTTTTGCACAGAAGTTCACCTCTAGACCGGGGGCTCACAGCGCCCAATGCCCCGAACGACATTGGAAATGCAACATTTGGCTATAAAACCGAGTCTTAGCACTGGCAGGTTTCAATAAACTGTGAGGGTATGAAGGAAAGGTAATTGCCCGGAGAAAGCAGCCCTGCATTCCTCGGGAGTTTAAACAAATGATATGGCGATGATATGGCGATGATATGGCGATGATACTACATTGGGGGGACCCTGGTGGAAAACAGGCAGATTTATGAGTTACGACTGACCCACATTCCGTCGAGGGAACATATACAAAATGTCTAATTTCATTCTAACTCTTGACTGCTTCTATACATTGAACGCCCATCATTTGAACTGAACTCTCGCATATTCATCACTCATTCATAATTGATCGAGTTACTGCTCGTTCGTGAGAACATAGCGGTAACGAGCATCACCATTGTCCATATCAACAATGGCCTGGTTGGCATCCTTCATCGGGCGCTCCTGAATCCAAGGCTTGACACCCTGGGCGGCAGCCAATTCCAACATCTCCCGAATCTCATCAGGGCTGCCGATTAACGAACCGCCGAGCTTGAGGCCTTTCATGATGAGCACGAAGGCCGGGATCTCAAGAGCGCCATCCTCGGGGGCACCGAGCTGAATGAAGGTACCGTGGACACGCAGAAGTCCACAGTACTGGACAATAGGCATCTTGGAAGAGGAGGCAGTGGAGATGATCAAGTCAAGAGAGCTAGCGTGACGGGTAGCCCAGTCTTCATCCTCACCGGTAGCGATGAAGTCATCCGCGCCGAGCTTCAGCGCATCCTCCTTCTTATCGGACTTGCGGGAGATGGCAACAACGCGATCAGCACCGAGAGCCTTGGCGAACAGAATAGCAAAGTGACCGAGACCACCAACGCCAACGACACCAACGGTCTTTCCGGGGCCGCAGCCGTTCCGCTTTAGAGGCGAGTAGGTAGTAATACCGCCGCAGAGCATAGGCGCCGCATCGGCAGAGGAGATGGCATCCGGGATTTTGATCACGAAGTGCGAGGGAGAGCGGTTGTATGTGGAGTAACCACCGTACGACTTGCCACCGTTGGCATAGATACCGTTGTACGTGCCAACCATCTTATTGCAGTGCTGTTCGAGACCCGAGGCACAAGATTCACAGTCGCCATCCTTGTTCTGGCACGAGCCGCTCTGCGCACCGACACCGACACGGTCACCGATCTTAATATCTCCCTCGGCCTGGGATCCGACGCGGACGGCAATTCCGACGACTTCGTGGCCGACACAGCAAGGGTAGTTGGTGGGCCCCTATAGAAGCAGAAATATGGTAATTAGTAACGCGATTTTAATTCAGAACATGTTTGGTCAAGAGGGATGGCGTCATACCCATCCACTGCGCAGAGTATGCAAATCCGAGCCACAGATACCACAGTGAGTCACCTTGATATCGATATCGGTCTCCTCCCAGGGCTTAGGCTCGAATTCCCGCCATACCATCTTTCCCTCGGCAGCTTCGGGGCCGAGGCCTACCCAGCCTTCGAACTTGTAATCGGTGGAAGACATAATGGAATGTATAAAAATGTATAAAGATCGGTTTCAATTTAATGTATATGATCGACTAGCGATTCCTACGGGGTCCTCGATTTCCTTTAAAACTACCTACACGGAGAGATCGAGCTCCGTCTCGGAGGGTTCTTGCAAGTTTCGATTTGTGGCGACGTGCTCATCGAAGTGAAGAAAAGGTCCACTTGACCCGTGAAGTGGGTTATCATGGAGTGGATGGAACCCAGGTGGATTGTAATCACGGTCTTAATTTAAGTTATGTCCGGTGAAGAAATTTCATTTGAGGCGAATAAGCAGGCCAGGAACCGCTCACGGAGTAAGTGATACTGGTGATGATATCAGGTACATATCCAAAGTATAAACACCGAACTTACATATGGACATCCATGGATGGATATGTATCTACTCAGCCCTGGAGGATTTAAGATCCTTAGTGCTTATAATCATCCACGGACCTACGGACTTAAAGAAAGTCAAGCCCCTGATTTATGCCGGCTTATGACAAGCTTGTCTTTTGCAATTGGTCAGGATCGATTGAGTGAGGAAAAGAGGTCTCAGACTAAGAATGGAAATGTTTTTGATTCGCTGAGATATTCTAGTGGGGAATCTTCATAATTAGTAATCATCCATCCATCATCGTCCATGGTCATCTGGCGCCAATTTCATCAAGCTTTCACTTCGACACTATCTGAAGGAACCGCTTTTTGCCGGCGGAAATAATATTGAACACCAAGCACAAAAGCGAGCACCCATGAGGCACCAGCGATGGAGCAAATGGCAGTAAGTCCGTGCAAGTATCTTGGAGCGTCGGAAGTGCGGAAAATCTGCGAGCCAGCGATACCAGCACAGTTAGCAGCCATGATGACCAGTGCCATGGCAACGCTTCGTTCCTGGGGTGTGCGGCAGTAGAACGACAGCCAGCCGACATTTAGGATGCTGATAACTGGGTCAGAGCGGGTTATAAATACTTGGGGGCGGGGACCTTACTGCATGCTGCAATAGGAGATATTAGCGACGGCAATAACTCCGTACCGGTGCCAGGGCGAAGCGCGGGGGCTACTTGTACGAAGACAAGCATAGGAAATCACGTTCCAAGTGATTGCCAAGAGCACAAACGGTCCACGGTGTTTTGTTTTGTCGCTGTCAAGAGTTAGAATCTGTTTCATTGTCATAATGGCCGTAGCACTCACGCAGCATAAGATAGCACAATCAGCCAGACCATTCCACAATAGACCGGAACCGAAGCCAAGGCGTTCGCCTTGACAGCACCGAATCCAAGCCCTTTGATCATGCTGGGGGTGTATTGAGTCAAGCCCGTGAAGCCAGTCATGGAGACCAAAGTCACGAAAACGTGTTGCAGGATGCGGGGTTGTTTAACAGTTTGCCAGATATCAGAGCCTGAAATTTGAATATGGCCCTTCGCTTTGCGAGGGTCATCCAGTAAAACGCGGTTGCGGATGATGTGCGACTCGCGCTCGGTGAAGTAGCTCCAGCGGCCAAAGGCGATCAATGGACGCCCATCTCCTGCGGATGGAGGCACAAAGAGAGTAAATACGATTGCGATGAACAGCGTGATTAAACCCTCGACTGGAATGGTCATTAGACGAGCTCGGGCTGACAGACATGTATATAATAATGTGCACTTACCGAGAAAGATCCATCTCCATCCCTCCATCCCATGGGTTCCATTCAGCTGAAGCAGACCGGCAGATATCAAACTTGATGTAGCCGATGCGAACATCTGCCCGTAGAAGAAGAGACTGGTGCGAAGACTGGTCTCATCCTTCTTATACCAGGTGGAGAGGTAGTATAAAGCACCTGCGGGTTGTTAGTCGAGGATTCAAGCATAAATATAGATTTCCGTACCAGGAATAAAACCACCCTCACACAATCCCAACAAAATCCTCGTAACCAGGTACGCGGGAAACGAGTTAACAAAGGCCTGGAAGGTCGCAACCAAACCCCAAGCGAACAATTGACCTGATAACCAGACGCGAGGCCCAATGCGCTGCATAATAATATTCGAGGGGATCTCCGAGAGAACAATACCAGCAGAGAGCAGTTGTGATCCGATATTAATTTGATTCGTTGTGATATTAAGGTCTTTTGTGATACTTGATGTCAAAACGGCGCTAATATTCCCGCGATCCATTTGCAACGCGAAGAAGGCGACAGCAAGAATGGGAATGAGGATGAAGTCAATTCTAAGCGGAGTTTGTTAGTGATGTGTTTCTCGTCGATGCGCGATGAGGGCTGTACATACTTCCGGCGAACGGCCGATTCTTCGCCATCCCAGTCTTTGACGATACCATGATCAGGCTCACTTGGAGGTGAGTCAATGACCTGCTCGCCGATTTTGTATTTCTCATCGAAGCTGTCTTGGTTTCTCATCTTGCGATTTAGAGCTCGAAAAAAATATTTTTCAAGAAAGCAAAATATAAACAAAACGGCAAGTATGCTGAGACAATCGCTAGATTGGCGAATTTATAACACTGGATAATCGGCCACTCTTATAGAAAACAAAAAAAGATAGATAGAGACAGGATTGCGTAGGCTAATCCGTTGAAACCAGCTAAAGGCCATCTAGAATGCGCGCCAATACGCTTTTTTTTTGTATGTCGCGAAACGGGGAGATATGGCGCAATCACGGTGAATTTGACGAAGGGATTTGCCGAGCATTTGGGCTTTGGCATTAGTCTTTGATAATATGGAGACTATGGAGATTATGGAGATGATTCTTTGTTTCTATTCGGCGTTCCCTTTGACTTTTTTCATCCGAAAGTCTATAGCCACGTTGTTTCGGATGCCCATACTTCCAAGGTTGCTACCGCATACGTTGCCTACATAATTTACAAACTAAATACTGAATTACTAGATGAATTTAAGTATATTCAAATTTGATCACTATTTACAAATTAAAACTAAATGGATTTCATTACACCCACACATCCCAAGACACGCCGTCTCGACTAGTTAACGGCACTTGGGGACCCTCAGCATCAACGATGTATCCCGCATCGCACCAGTCAAATGAGACCCGAGGCTGTGCACCATAGAACCCATCATATTTCTCATACAGGGCATCTTGTAGGGTACTAACTGGGTCTACTGGTTGGAGGACATCCCAAGGCCGGAGGCAAGTCGCACCCTGGCAAGACTTCAGAACCATCAAAAGAGCGTCGAGGCGATTGATAGCCTGAGTGACGGTGCGACCGAGAATGTGCGGCTCATCGATATCCGCCGGGGAGGTGGTCGGGTACAGATTATTCAGCTGGTACGGGTCGGTCTTGCAAAAGGATTAGTCGTTGATATGAGAACGAACCCAGGTACGATTTACTCACCGACAGATCGTACAGCTCATGTTCATTGTTGCACCAGACCGAGTAGTACAGATTGTAGCCTTCTCCGAGTAAGCGGACGGATTTGTAGGTGTTGTTCGGGATCATAGTTGAGCCTCCGGGGCCTGTCTTGGAATTAATATCACGTATTGCCTTCCATAATGACGAGGGCCAATATTGGCTTGACTTACCAATACCGCTATAAGCGCCTTCCACAACAGCAGAACCCCAGTATTCTACTGTAACATGCTCATGCCGCTCACCACCAAACTTGGGTGTCACGGGAATCGCAGTCCCATCGAAATCGTCCCTCGCCGGAATACCTGCAAGATGGAAAAGGGTCGGCGCCAGGTCCACGTGGGTAGTCACCGCGTCCTGCACATATCCCTTGGCAACCCCAGGTCCACGGATGAACAAGGGAACCCGAACGTCCTCCTCAAACCCGCAAGTCTTCCCAGGTGGGAGTCTGTGTTGGCCAATATGGAATCCATTATCCGAGGTATAGATAATATAAGTATTATCCAGCTGGCTGCTCTTCTCCAGTCGGGTGACAAGTCCGTCCACCAATTCATCAACACCCTGCAGGGCGCGCAGACGCGAACGATAAAAGTGATCGTTATAGTCGACCACCGATTGGTTCTGCACGGGAAGATCGCGAATCCAACTAACTCCACTGGGCTGCGCAAAAAGGAAATCAACATCAGTCAACATGGGCCATCACAAACACGTTCATTTCACTCAAGGCTGCGCTTACCTGGTCTGGATTGAAATTGGCCGTGCGAGGCACCCTCACATTCTGGAACAAATGCTCATGTCGTTTGAGGGGGATGGGCGCGGACATGTGAACCTTTCCCGAGGCACTATTGCCTGGGTCGATATTCGAGTGCGGCGCGACGGGCGACACAGCCAGGAAGAAGGGCCTCTCGCCGGCCAATGCGTCATCGAGGAAACCCAGTGCTTTCCCCGTAATGACATCGATAGTATGTTCACCCTCATGGTTGACGGGTGGTTCATGGTTTCGTTGGTAAGTCGAATTGAGATAAGAATACGTATAAGGATCGAGAAGGAAATCGGATCCGTTAAATCCATTGATATGTGGGCTGTGGTAGTTGTCCACAGTATGCGCGTTGAACATTTTGCCGGTGTAATATGTATCATATCCCGCCGCTTGCAGCCAAAGTGGGAGGAAATCATCGTTGAACCCGCGCTCGACGAACTTGGGATATCCGCCATAGGGCGGGTGAACATCGGTTACATTTGTGTTATGTGCCTGGCGACCGGTCCATAAACTCACACGCGACGGACAACATAGAGCTGTGGTGACAAAATGGTTGCGGAAAAAGGTACCCTGGTCGCGGATGTGTTTTGAGATCAGGGGAGTGTAGGATATGGAGTCCAGCTGGAGGTCTTGATCATCGGTTATTACAAAGAGGATATTTGGTTTGCGCGTTTGTGTTTCGCTGTGTGTGAGTATGGATTGAACGGCCGATTCCAGGTTGGATTGGAAATTGAGAGCAGTCACCCCATCGGCGACGATAAGGCCGGCCAGGGCGGTGATTAATCTCATTGTGAGATGGTTGGAGTGTGGGAAATTAGGAAGTTAGGAAATTACCTATAGTGTACGGAGTACATACGGAGTACTACATAGAAAGTAAATAATTCCAATGAAGCTCTTGGCAAAGAGTGAAATGTGGAGAGATGGCGATGATGCCATCGATGGCTTTAATGGCGAAGTGGAGATGGCGAAGTGGAGAACACTCCAAAAAGATAAGAAAGATCAGACCTCAACACCTACTCCGTATGTTTTTACTACTCCGTATAAGGTGACTTGTATAACTGTTCAAGTGTATAGGTAGACTAGCTAATATGTAAATTAATTGGATATGTTGTGCAGTATGTATTCATGTATCCTACACGGAGTATTTAATATTTTAATCCAAGGTCAACTGTAAAAGTACCAAGTATAAACGTGGATGGCGTGCTTGATCACCACAATGAGCACAACTAGCTTCAAAAAACCAAATTAATTCATCCGAGTCAAAGACCGGAGTTGACGGAGTACAGATTCCGATATTTATATATTTAAGTGCCATGACAGAAATAGACGGATACGACAATGTATGGTAAATCTGACATATGTAAATTCTCTAACTAACTAAAATGACAAGATCCGCTCTTTTCCAATCTCGGCGGACATAGCTGATTAAGCAATGTATGTATTTTTGTATGGTACCGTTATCATGACGGTCCATTGATTTTCCGGTTTGTAAAGACCTGGTAATTTCAGCATGCATAAATGCATAGTACTTGACATGCCATATAAAGCCTACCATATATGGTTAGCGCGTCAAGAATCTACCTATCCCAATATATATAGATATAGTATATAGAGATATATATATCTATCGAACAAACCTTAGTCCATTCTCAATTAGAAGCTATAACAATAGAAAATAATAATCAATTTCAAAGGGGATCTCATTTCCTCCCATGCTTGAATTGGTTCAAACGTAAAGGGTAATAATATATAGAGGACATCAGGCAGGGTTCATACAATCTAGGAAACCGTCAGTTTTGCCGACTAGCTATTCCCTGAAGATATTTATATGCAAACGGGGAAACATGCAGCTTCCGTTACCTCACACTCCCTCTGAAGAACGGAAAGAATATGGTATCAACATAACAAAATCCCCGAGGAGAAAGAGGTGATCTGGTGAAGAGCCAGCATCAAGCCTGGAGAACTTGATATAAGATTTCTAGGCTAAAATCCCCAGAGAGATCGTATAAATAGAGAGATTTAAAGACATCACAAAAGCAGAGATGGATAGTATATCTTAACGATCCCAGCTCTTTCCCCGTTCTCGTTCTTTCATCTCCATTTCCTTTTTCCATCATCCACTAACCTTTCATCACTGCTTTTCATCAAAACATTGCCTTTCATGAGCCTTCTCATCATACATACATCCTGTCGACCTTTGCCATTCTTCTTCTCATATTGGTTTCAATCATGGGCAGGCGACTCTACGAGTTTTGATCTCGCATTCCGGTTTCACGTCACCAGCTGCCACATCGCAATTACAGTCATGGAGGACATGAGGTAATATACGATCTCTCCTTCGGAGGATGGCATTGTGAGAGTCGCACGCTAACACAAATAGTCAATTACCTCACCCTGGAGGCAGCCCAGTGGGTCAGGAAACCGTCCTTCCCCCACCAATAGAAGGGGAAGAAATCGCAGCACCTGGGTCTTGGGCGGTCCACATACGCAACCTACCTTTCGGCATCGCCAGAAATGATAACCGTCTGAAAGGCCCATACTTAGGCAGACTACAAGTAGTCCCGAGGGAGAGCCGGCGTGAACCTTATCTTCGAGCAGGCCGCCAGTGGACTGCTCTGCGATTTCAAGAACAGATTAATATCTCCTTAGCTCATGCGGAAGCGGCGTTGATGCAAGTTGTGGGTGATTAATCTCCCACTCCGTGCAACTCCTGCCTCCGCTGTGAGACACTGTGTATCTGTGCGGGATGTGCCTGACCTAGAATCCTGTGCCAATTGTCACTGAGCAGGCCGGGACAACCGCTGCCACTACAGACAGAGCTTTCAAACTACTAGATATCAGCATGCTCTAACCACTACCGAAACTCATCACGCTAGCATCGTCCGTGCCAATTCCCAAAATTCCCAAACGCCCACCCCTCAGACGGACACCAATGCAACTGGTCAGAGTTCAGGCCAGCGTGCAGTTCTCCTGCAACTCGGCAACATAGCTCAGATCTTGGATTCCAGCCGGGGCTTTCGCGCCCAGCTGGAGGAACTGCTCGACCAAACTCACTCTGTCCAAACCCCAAGCATCGCGGATCTGTTACTACAGAGGACTGTCGATAACATCTACAACACTCACTGTGAGCCGGACCAGCACCTCCGACAGAGCTACGACATGGTTATGGACATTCTGAATCCTCCTGCAAGAGATTAAGCTACCTATGGGCATTGGTCATAGCCTTTCCGGAGGATCCATGAAAGTTTCAACATCCCTTTTTCCTGTTGTCTCGTTGCGTTGAGCGCCCTTTGTCTACGCATGGGACAAGTGGGCATCGTTATTCAAATTAACTGTTAGTCTGCACATACTCCAGTAACTGGTAGAGTAATATCGTCATGATATAACGGTAGAGCATGTAAAAGCTCCGTTTCGCATTGCTATCACTATTCAGTTAAACAGAAGTAATAAGTAATAGTTAATAAGTCTATCTCTATACCAAAGGTGTAAGAGGAGCCGAATAAAAAGGATAGATATATGGGAGCCTAGAGACCTCTTTGGGAAGAACAGAAAGCCTTTCAACGGATATTGTATCTTCACGCGACGACCTCAAGACTTGACCTAGGAGCGCAAACTTTCCATCCCCCCAAATCCCAAATTTCATCATCCCCACCGCCTTACCGTATGCCGTCTTTTGAACTCGAGGTCAAGACTTTTACGCATCGATACAACAGGCTACACAATATGATATCCACCTCTTCTCCCCCACCAAACCAAAAGGATATTGTGGGTCAACATACTCGGTATGTTGAAGTTAATATGTTGCCCAACTTTCTCCAAAGCTGAGATTGTCCACCTAGGAGCCTTCGTTCAGACTTTAACCCGAATGACAAGGATTTCTTCGACTCCGAAACGCAACGGTCTTTCCAGCCTATCTCTAATGAGGGCCTCCAACTTTTAAAGATCTCGGATGCCGACACCACGGAGGTGCAAAGCACTCTAGACATCCCGAATTTCGATCTCATATTGCAGGGTCGGCTCGTGTGCACTATTGTATCTGTTACCATGCACGTATTCCAGATTATTTGGCATATACCTCTGAAGACTTCCACGGCGGTAATAAGGCCTTCCTCTTCTCTACCTCCGGACTATTTCGAGATGTTGACACTACTAGCTAGAAGGTTCTCCTGCTAGATGAGTGGTGGGATGGTGGAATTCTTATTGGACTATCTATCTGCGTCATCTTTTGTACCAATGGAGTTGGAGAGCAAGACAGCCTCCTACTGAGTGAGCTTGGAACAATCGCTCAGTTGTTGCGTTCCACCGGACCGACGGAATTCCAGACCCATTCTTTGTTCTCGGTGAGACAAAATTCTATTGATCTGGTTCCCCTAGGTATGCTAGGAAACTCTTTCTATATATGTGCTCCTGATTTGTCTTTTCAGCCCCCGCCATGGGCGGATCACCTACAACTGGCGCGGTGGTAAGCTCGAGCTTCGAATCTCTCGGATATTCTGGTTTGCCACCACGCATGATGCAGCATCCGATACACTCCTTCGATCCACAGCGAGTTACCCACCGAAGATAGCCAATCTCAACTTTTTTTTTCGTTTCTCTAGATCGGATCTAGGCCTGATAGGAAACATGTGTTATATTCGGATGTATCTAACATTCAACTTAAGATTTTATTAGAGACGTTGTATGCGAATCTCTTTTACGTATGTGTTAAGAGGGATTTGATATTAATTGGGTGTCTTTTAGAAAGGCTTTTGCGATATCCTTTCCTTTCCCAATCCCGGACGATTTCCAAGGTAAATCAAATCAGATACCACGTCCCTATCGTAGGTACTCTCTATTCAGTTTCATCTCCTCTCAAATTCGACGTCTAGATTCCTGAATTTGACTAACACAGTTTATTCACCTCTAAGGTTACACATAATGTCTCCAAAATGGAGGATAGATATCGCTTCATGCGCTTTCTACAGCTACAGGGTGACGAATAGATTCGCGGTCTAATATCCAAGACAAAGCAAATGCCAAGGCATCTACCACGGCATTTGCCAAGACGTCGGGCGCTGTTTCCTCCTCGCCCCGGCCAATCAGATCCCCGAGCCAGAGTCCGATGCTACGTTATTCTCTACTATTGGATTGGGTCGATGTATGGACTAATGCAGTCTGGGGGTGGCGCGCATGTGCCCTTTTTTTTAATCTCTTTTCCCAGGGGCTAGGGTTCATGTCTACATATAGCAATTTGTCCCAGGTGCCGCTGCTTTGAACTGTGGTCTACAATTTTCGGGTGTGCCCAATATCTTCAATATGCTCAGGTTTTCCCTTGAAACGGTGACCGCACCACTACTGGTCGTATTGCTATGTTGTCCGAGTGAGTAAAATGTTGCTTGTGTGTGTGGGTGTGTGTGTGTTGTGAACTCCTTGCCCAGTACCTGGACTCATGCTGTTAGATGCCTTCGCTGCCAACTGCAGCTCAGCCTGGATAAAGTCCATAGCTGATGCAGATACACTTCGCCAGAACTGCCGAGTTGTCACGGGCAACGTTGACATCGGTCCATTTTCCGACAATGGTACGGTTAACATCAACCTCGACGGTATCGAGGTGATCGAAGGCATTCTCAAGGAATCCTATCGTATGGAGGACAACTATGTTACTCAGCCTGTTACAGAGAAGGCCAGGGACTAGTAAGTACGCTGGTAAAATCACTGTATTGCGCTAGAGAGAGAGAAAGAGAAGAAGCTATCTACAGATGCTAAGACTAATGTACTGGGAGCAAACAGCGGTGGTCACGTGACCTTCCAACACCCCCCACGACTAGTGCAATAGTCGTCACAACATAGTTTAAACAACTCAATCCTCCAGTGTAAAAAACCAGGTTTTGACTTTGAAATAACCCCCCATTTTTTGTATGTAAACCAGAAATCATGCAGTTTTATAGGGCACTAGACCCATCTGCAAGATCCATCTCCGGAACATGATCTTTCCAAGGGGCTTTGTCAATCCATCTGCTGCCATGTCGGCAGTGGGAATCTTGACGAATTTCACTGAACCAGCTGCCACTTCTTCTCGTAGGCGATGATACCTAATGGCAATGTGCTTAGTATTGACATGAAACTCTGGATTTGAAGCCAAAGCAATGGCTCCGTTGTTATCGGCATAAATGCAAATCGGCTTTTGTAGAAACCCAGCAATCCCAATCTCCGTCAATAATTGAGTGAGCCAAATAGCTTCCTGCGTAGCAAGCGCTTCAGCAATGTACTCGGACTCGGTAGTAGACAGAGCAACACAAGATTGCTTCTTTGAAGTCCACGAAATTGCTCCACCGGCCATCATAAAAATGAAGCCAGACGTAGAGAGGCCTTTTTCACTATGGGGGCCAGCCCAATCTGCATCGCAGTACCCACATAAAGCATCATTTCCATGAAACGAAATAGACAGATACTTCGTGCCAGCAAGGTAACGAAACACTCGCTTCAATGCCTGGAAGTGTAATGGGCCTGGATTCTTGGCATGCTTCGCCAATTTAATGACGACAAACGAGATGTCAGGACGGGTCGAAACCATTAACCAGATCAGTGTTCCGATTTTGGTTTGAAACTCTTTGATCTCTGCTTTTGAAGCGGTGCCGTCAAATACTATCAAAGGTTGCTTCTCATCCATTGGAGTAGCAACTGCCTTGCAGTTTTCAAGACCGAAGCGAGCAAGGATTTTGTCAACGTAGTCGTACTGAGAGAGGTAAATCACCCCTTTATTGTAGTAGACATTGATGGCAAGGTATCGTTTAAGGACACTTTTGTCAGACGTATCAAAGTGCTTAGCGATTGCGATCTTGAACCGTTGAATTTCTTGCTCAGAGGGTGACAGAACAAGCAGATCATCGACATAGATCATAATGAATAACGGAGCCTTCCCAGAGGCACACTTAATGAAGATTGAATGATCTGACTGGGTACGGGTGAATCCCATAGAGATTAAGATATCGTGTAGCAGTCTATACCACTCTCTGGGACTTTGTTTTAACCCATAAATCGTCTTCATAAGGAGACCAATGTTATCGGGATATAGCTCTCTTTGTCCTTCAGGAAGCTCAATTTCAATTGGTTCTTTAAGCTCGGTATAAAGAAAGGCCGTTACGATATCGATATGATGAATTGGCCAGCCTTTAGCAGCGGCAATAGCTACGAAGATCTTGAAAGACATCGGCTTGGCAACGACAGCATAGACCTCATAAAAGTCAAGATCCTTGATCTGACGAAATCCACGGGCGACAAGCCTTGCTTTGTAGGTTCCATCATGCTTGATTTTAAAGACCTATCGAAGAGAAAGGGGCTTCCGGCGGTTCTTCGCAGAGGAGCGAGGAATCCTTCGCTAGGTGCCGTTCTTAATCTGTCGAGCAAGTTCCTTATAAGCAGCAGTTAGCCATTTGTCTTTCTCGACACAGGTCATTGCTTCTTTCCAGCCATTGGGTTCGAAGCCAATATCATTGACTGTCAATTTAGAAGATGTATACTGTGGTTCTTTTGACGTAGCTGCAGAAAAAAGATTGATCAGCACCTCTGGGGTGTCAGCTAGAAGCTGGAGGACATTGCTGTCAAAGAAAGATCGGCTAGCCAAGCTTTCAATGTATGCCTGGCTGGGTTTTTTAGACCTTGTCGATCGACGTACTGTCCCATCCGATGGATGCTGAGTGATAGTGGTAACATAGTCAGTGTCAGGTGAATCATCTGGAATTGGATCCAGATGTGTGAAGTCAATTTGAATACCCTAGGGTAAATCCTCATTAACAACCTGCCGGGAAGCAAGCTGTGGTTCCACGAGAACCCCTGCCCCACCTACATCAAGGTGGGGACCATCATCCTCCCGTTGTGCCTCCATAAACCTGCCTAAACTACCCGCCATTTCAACTTTATCGTCGTCATCGGGTAAATCGAAGGTATCGGGATCGGGGAGGGGAACGTCGATCATTGGAAGTGAAACACTTTCAATTTCTGGAACACGGTATTCCAGAATTGAAGGGTTCGAAGGATCGAGCGGAGGGTTTGCCGGAGCAAGAATTGTGTCATCAATGTCATCTTCAACAGATGGAGAGGGTGGAGAACTAGATAGAACTCCGAATGGATTGTCAAGATACGGCCGCACAAAATCAATTGGAACGTGACGATCTGAAGGAGACGAAGATGAAGATTGTAGATCGATCTGATCTCCCTGAGATAGAAGATTAAGATCATATAAAGGATTCGGAAGTGCTTCTGGAGAAGGGTTCTCGTTGAAAATGACATTTCGAGAACGTTCAATCTTCTTAGTACGCACATTGTACAACACATAGTTGTCACCTTCATCGTAAGCGATCAACCTAGCTTCTTCCATGTGTGGATCAAGCTTTGTGGGACGCTTTTCCTTTGGAATCAAGAACCAACATTGACAACCGAGAGCACGAAGGTTAGATAGGTCAGGTTTCCTGCCATACAGAGCTTCGTAAGGTGACATCTCGATTTTTGAAGCGTATAAACGATTCATCGTGTAGTTGATTCCACCAAGTAAATAACCCCAAAGGTATTTCGGGAGTTGGTACTCCGTCATAACCGCAACAAGGGGTTCAACTAGGTGACGATTTTTGATCTCGGCGACACCATTCAGTTGCTTAGTGTAGGGAGGGGTAGGGTCCCAAACTGTACCCTTCGAAGCAAGATAGGTGGCTAGTGGCTTATGCTCTGTTGCATCGTCACCATGCACCTTCTTGATCGTGAACCCAAACTGGGTTTTTAAATGATTCTCCAGTTGAATGTAGGTTTCAGTAACCTGCGATCTGGATTGAAGAAGAAATAGCCATGTGAACCGGCTAGCATCGTCAGTGAAGGTGATAAAATATCTCTCTCCACCGTGCGAAGCAATTGAAATTGGTCCCTATACGTCAAGATGAATGAGATCACCAGGTTTTGATCTGATCGATCTCTCTTTGCCGAAGGGGAGGGTATGACCCTTGCCTTTAATGCATGGTGTGCATGGAAAGGTGACACCGGCACCTTTCTTTAATTTGATTCCATCACTATGAACTTCCATCTTCCGTACCCTGTTCTCGCCAGCGTGACAAGCTCGACGGTGAGCTAGATCAACTGAGATAGGCGTAGGAGAAGAACCTTTCTTTGTGGCAAAGACGGAATTAGGGGAACCCGAGACCAGATTGCAATCTAGCATGGCATCAACCTTATTAATGCCAGAGCAGTTTAGCCAGTAGTGCTCTCCTTCGCAGGTAGCAAAACCGACAACTGATTCTGAGGACGCATATTAATCCTGTAACTTGAACGTCATTAGGCCGTTCTTGACCCATGTGCCAATGTCTTCTTTGTCGAGAGCGGACATTGAGATCAAGCTAGCTTTGAGATCTGGAGCAAGCCATACCTTATGAAGGGTAAGCGAGCCAATGAGATCATCTGATTGTTCATTTGTCATTCGAAGAATAACATCTCCATATCCTTCTGTGTAGAAAACATCACCTATCGCTGTCGATACAGGTAATACACATTGACGGAAATTAATGAAGACAGATTTGTGTGGAGTTATATGGGTGCTAGTGCCTGAATCGACCATCCATCGAGAGACGTCGTCGTCACTAATATAAAGTGCCTCGGTAGAGACTGTGTATACCCCATGTTCTTGAAACAATGCATTGGTAAACAATGTGTTGTACTTAGCAACTGGATCGCCAGAAGGAGGTCCTTGCTGAGGTGGTGGGTACGATGCCGGAGCATACACTGCATTGGCAGTGCGAGGTTGTTAATGAACCGGGATAATCCGTCCTTGGTTGTTAACCTGACCGATGATCTGGCCGGGTTATGGGACAGTCACCTGCTGTGCTTGTTGTTGAGGAGGTTGTATGATTACATTGGCAGAGCTAGCATTGTTCTTCAATGAACAGTTCCTCGAGTAATGATTACCCAGAGCATTATGGAACTTGCAATAGATGACATTCTCTTCATGTTCGAAGGGCTTCTTCTTTTGCTTTTTGTCCTTGTCATCTTTACCCTTTAGATGGGAATTAGACTTGTCATTGTCACCACCTCCCTTCTTGTCGTCCTTCTTCTTATTATTGAAGTTGGAATTGTCCTTGTTGGACGACGAGGAGGTAGTGTTTGCTGAGGAGTGAAATGAGGTGTTGTTAAATAAACGGTTGTTGGTCTCTGTCTCAATGAATTCGACGTAAACCTTGTCCATAAAATTAGGTTCTTTCTCATTAACCCTAAGGTTTTGAAGAAAGGCGTGACACCGAGTATTCTCCGCAATAGATTTCTTAAACTGACATAGTTCAAGCATTGGTGTAGGAGATCCACTCATTGATGAGACGTCACGGAGTCCCTCTTGAAATCTCCGAACAAAGTCAGATGGAGACCCATTTTTGTAACGTTGGTCAACCCACTTCGTGAAGTAGGTGTATGCTTGTTGGTATGACGAGGTGGCGTATGTCTTTCGAAGCTTCTTAAAAGCTTCACGTACATCTGTGACCTGCGAGACAATTGACAGAGGTTCAACCGAGAGGGTCTTTCGAACATGAATAAGGGCTCTGGTGTTACAGGATTGCCAGTTGTTACACTGCATGTCATACTTCTTTCGAAGTGCTAGGTTGCCATCTTCAAGCTCCTTCGTACGTGTACGAATTTGACTGGGAGTGATGATGATGTCCTGTTCAGTTGTCACATCCTACGCGTCACTAAGCAAAAGTTGCTTAACTTCCTCCCGTGAGGTGTTAGCGTACTCAGGAGGTAATGGAATAGGAATTCCATGGGAAAGCATCCGAACGTAGTATCGGTTGTTAGCTGTGAGAGCTAGGAAAAGTGCTGTTTCCCAGTCCCGGAAGTTGGATTGTCCCTTCAGTTTTGGGACTGAATCCGCACAGTCAATCTCATGTCGACTGACCTCGAAGTCCTCAATGTTATAGGACTCCGTCATGATGAAGGTCTTCTTCTGCACCGGGGTGCTTTGGTATGTGATTGGTGGAACGGCGGTCGACGAGATCGAACGGCCAATGAGAGACGGCGGTCGACAGGGTCGAACGGCCAATGAGGGGTAGCGGTCGACGGGGTCAAACGGCCAGTGGGTGGGTGGGGTGGTCGAGGAATTCGACCAGTGAAAACTCTGATCGAGGTCCCACAGTGGGGTGGTGCGACGCAAAGCACCGAGGATTGGAGGAAAGATGAGGCGTGAAGCATACAGTTATGTAGGGGCTTCAACGGCAAGGTGCTCATAACCTGTTACAGAGAAGGCCAGGGACTAGTAAGTACGCTGGTAAAATCACTGTATTGCGCTAGAGAGAGAGAAAGAGAAGAAGCTATCTACAGATGCTAAGACTAATGTACTGGGAGCAAACAGCGGTGGTCACGTGACCTTCCAACACAGCCCTATTACACACTCTCCAGTTCATCTTTGCAGAAAGTCAACGGACTCGAGTTTGGACGCTACAACACTAAAGCAGTGAACCTCACGCTTCCGAGTCTCGCATCTGTGGATATCTCGGTTGATATAGGGGTTCTCGCCTACAATCTCACCTACCTGGATATCACGAGTCTGGACTCCGCGCACAGCATTACTATTGGCCCCCCGAACCTCACCACACTCCACCATACAGGGTTACGCAATGTGACCACCCTGTATATTCACCCGATGCTGATTGACTCACTCGATACTTTGACCGACAATCCGCTCAATCTAAGTCAAACTTACATTCGAGGTCTATTCCCGAATGTTAACAACATTGCTATTGGATTCACATCTGCCGACTACATCCATATCTATGACAACTCAGCTCTCACACTAGGAGGCTCCTCGACAATGGAGATGACCATCAAAGAAATATTCATTGGTGGTGTTACGGATCTTAAGCGGAACGCACAGCTTAAGACACTCAAGATTGATAGTATTGAGCTATCGGGCGGCACTCCTATTGATCATCTAGGAATACCATTCGATAATCTCCGCTCTCTCAAAATCTGGAGGGGATTTGAGGGGACACGTGCCCTGAAATCTATCACTCTTCCCCCCAAAGCCATGAATTGGACAGGTGGCTTTGAACTCGACATTTCAGGTGCTCCCAATCTAAATTGGACCTCGATTTACGGTGCCGACGACCAAGGTAATCGCATTCAGACTTGGTACTGGCCAAAAAATGTCTCGTCGATTTACCTTTCCGGCGTCATGATAGGAAATGCATTCTTGTAAGTGTCTGTTCCTTTCTCACAGGTTGGGGGTGTTAATAAAGGCTCACACGAAAGAACAGCGATCCCTTTGTTGCCCAGCAAATGGGCCCGTTGAACAGTCAGTTTCCTCCTTCGGTCTTGACTTACTTTGGGGTTAGCCCATCGCTCAACTCTACGAGTTTCAACTGCACGCCATTCGTTGAGCTCCAGAGTATGGGTCGATTGCCGAACCGTGAATTGACGTTCAGTTGCCGTGATTCGAAGCCGCCTGCTAGCGGTGCTATTCCTGGTCATCCGGCAATTCCCTTCGGCCTTGTGAGTGCCGTTGTGGGGATTTGGATCTGGATGCTATGAACAAATCCACCAAATCCACGGGCCATGCAGTTTTGTAACACATTGAGTATCGATGTCCATTGATTGATTGACAGTTTTTTGTTACATTAATTTATACTCTGTAGTTTATTTTTAAATTAATTGACCAAATTCTTAACATGTTTCTTTCATGTTACAAAAATTTTCTTTGCCCAAGTGAACTTTCTACGCGTTCTCTAAAAATGTACTCATCCCTAGAATAAACACCACTCTCACTTCCCCACCACCAACCCTCATTTCGAACCCGCCTTGATAATCACCCACTCTCCTCCAGATCCATCCATCGGTTATAACACGGTCATGTCAACATACTAGTCATGGATCAGTCACCTGTCAAGACAAGAACGGTATCGACAGATGGCCCCTGTGCGGTGAAATCTGGATGGTTTAAAAAAAGAGAGACATGCCATCTTTGGCTAATTTTGCGAACCATGCTGAGGGGATTCTCAGATCACCTGATGTCAATCCATTATAAATGCTGTGAGGGCCCTAGAAGAGGGCAAATATGCGGAAGTGGTGGGATATTCGAGATTTCAGCGAACGAGTAACATCCAATATTATATTCCGTATAGGACCATGAAACACGAACGAAATAGCTCTGACAAATACGTAAAGCGGTTTCTTGACGAGGATTGTGTGAACAGGGGTCTACTTGCCTCATGCCCCCTCAAAAGTACCGAGCTATAGTATAAAAGTGGATCCTTTGTATAATATATGGCGTGCTTTACAACTCCAATGAGCACAACCTAGTTTCCAAAGTTGATTCGAATAATATTTATCACTGACCCATGATTCCCCTCTAGAGATATTTTTCCAGTTGGACTCTCTTTAATGTACAAGTTATAACATGACTCATATAAAAAGCGACACGGTTCAGCCGGTACCTCCAGGTGTCCTCGGGACCCAGGGCATCGATGAGAATGGTATCGATGCGAATGGCCATGCCCAAGACGAAGAGAGTCCATTACTCCCACGATCTAATACAGAGCCTAAGCTCAAGGCATTGACAGGTGTTGGAACAATTATCGCGGTGCTTCTGCTCGGTAAAGAAATTGCTATCACACAAAGACCGGAGATCTAATCGAGCACAGGTGAATTTATTTCTAATGCCGATGCAACACTTGTCATGGCGGCGGCAGGTCGCATATCCTCCGAGTTTAATCGTCTACGAGATGCCAGTTGGCTCTCAACGGGCTATACGTTGGGTCTTTGTGCTGCACAACCAATGGTGAGCGAGCACAACCCGCACCGGAGACATATCAAATTCTAATTGTAGTCCAGTATGGAAAGTTGAGTGATATCTACGGTCGCAAGCCGATGTTGCTGCTCTCATATTTGTTATTCGCAGTGGGCTGTATAATGAGGTAGGGAATTTCCTGACCCAACGGCCGAAATCCAAATCTGACCACATATAGTGGCCTCGGAACCCATATGTGGGTGGTGATTTTTGGACGCGCAATCAGTGGAATGGGTGGTGCAGGAATCATGACCATCAGCTCCATTATCATCACAGATATCGTGCCCAAGCGCGAGGTCGCTACTTGGAGAGCTTACGTGAACATTGCCATGACACTTGGACGCAGTCTTGGAGGTCCGCTGGGTGGCTGGCTGAGCGATACTATTGGATGGAGATGGTAAGGCTCTATTTTGTTGGGAGCTGAATGTAATTTCTAACCAAATTCCTAGGTTATTCATCCTCCAAGCTCCATTCCTCGCACTGGCTGCAGCTCTCGTGATTGTGAAACTAAACGTCAGTGAAAGACCACAACCCACCTCCAAGGAAAGCAAACTCGCCAAAGTTGATTTCCTTGGGACGGTACTGCTAGGATCATCCATTGTCGCCATCACCACACTCCTCGACCAAGGTGGGAAGTCCTTCCCATGGAGCTCATGGTGGACAGTCCTCCTAGCAAGCGGCGGAGTATCACTCCTCATCGCCTTTGTGTTCGTGGAAGGCTACGTTGCCCGTGAACCAATCTACAACCTCCGCATTCTGCGGAGCACAAACGTCGCAATGGCATACATAATCGGCGCACTCCAGATCACCGCGCAACTGGGGCTAATGTTCTCCGTCCCACTGTATTTCCAAGTGACCCAGCGCGCATCAACGACAGAAGCGGGCGTACATCTCATTCCAGCGGTAGTAGGGAATACTCTTGGCGGACTATTAGCAGGAATGTTCATCCGGCGCACTGGAAAATTCAAAATCCTCCTCATCCTCGCGGGTCTAGTTGCCGGGATTTCCTACCTCCTTCTCTACCTCCACTGGGATGGACACAGTGGTTTCTGGCAGTCGCTATTTATTCTCCCTGGTGGACTTGGGACAGGAATCGCAGGGGCGTCTTCATTTATTGCCATGTCTGCTATGTTGCCGGCTGAGGAAATCGCCATGGCGACAGCGGGATATATGCTTATTGTGGGATTCTCCATGACGGCTGGTGTGACTACATCCAATTCCGTTCTGGGGATGGAGTTTCAGCGGCAGCTGAGGCTGAACGTTCACGGACCTGGCTCTGAGGAGGTTAGTACTTTCTCGTGTGAGATCATTAGTCTAAGTTCTAATTGCTCTAGGTTATTCAACGTGCTATGGCCGATACAAATTATATCGCGCACCTAACTGGCCAGCTGCGGGAGATTGTTGTGGCTTGTTATGTCTCGGGACTGAAGCATACATATCGTGAGTTTATGGATTATGTTATATTGAGTACATTCTACTAACGTGCTGCAGTTGTTTCCCTTGGGTGTTCGCTTTTGGCGTCATTTGGCGGGTTGTTTATTGTGCGCCATCAAATCTAGAGTTCGTCTACCATGACTACTGTACTGTATCAGATTCAAGATTACCTGTGTTAGAAAAGTCCAACGAAGCCAGCCGATCTTGTCAATGGGGACCACCCCTCCTTTATGATTGAGATAGGTAGATATTACCCTATCGGATATATTATCCCGGTTACGAAAAGTACCACGACAGGATACTATTGCTACTATTAGTAGTGCCATCACTTCATAGAGTATGTCTGCCTTTTGGCTCAGGGTGCAACCATAATATAAGGAGATGCTAAAGGTAACTTGACTGTTATTCCTGATCAAACTGGCCGTAGCAAAACCTGACAACTAATGGTTGATGGCCGGGCCCGAGAAATCAGGGTCTGAACAAAAAGGAAGAAAAATTGGCCGTCAATCTTTCTTGTGATTGTATGGGCAGTATATAGGTATGTAAGGTTTGGAGTCAGAAATGCTATTCAGTGATGAATGAGGTTTTATATAGGACCAGGCCTTTGCCAGGAAATACATATCAACCAGCGGGACTTTCTATTCCGATATATAGGCAGAGATATAAGAACCAGATGTGGAATCTAATACATAGTTGTAATCAGATGGAAGATACTAAGAGGTTACTGGCTAAACATATATATCTTATAGATATTGCGGTATAAATGCATATGTTGGATTTTTACATCTGATCAAAAACCTTACATGTAGTACTAGAGGATCTTTCTAGTATTTTCAACAGTACACAATAACCAACAGTCAAGCATTTCAACAAACGTCGTGCTCCGTCAAAGGACGAGTTGCTCAGTGTTCCCTCGATAGTTATATTCATTGTCATGTTGCTATTCTACAACAATAGTATAACCAGCCCACAATCTGCAGCGAAGATATCCAGAATTTTGCCAGGGCAGCCAGATGTCAAAACAGTGAATCCAAAACTTCCAGTTCCAACTGCTTTTGAACCCTTCTCTGAAAATTATCACCTCCAGGTATCACTAATCGCGACAGCTGTGGTACCGCACGTGGTGGGGACAGTGTACGACAAATTCGGGTCACTCTCCCACGTAACGGTACCATCACTCGCCACTCGGATATACTTGTAGGTGAAGCTAGTACCCACTGGAAGTGTCACAGTCACAAACCACAGATTATTGCTCGAAGTGTATGAGGATGCGCTCAACGCAATAGCACTGCTTGTGGACCAGGAGCCAAGTTGAGAGATGGATCCAGCAAGCTTGATGTTCTGTCCATATGTAGTAGTGGCGATCACATTAAATGTCACTGCAACGGCAGTTGGAGTGGTGCATGATGTTGTGGTGGAGGTAGCCTTTGTCGTGGTGGTGGTGGCTGTTTTGGTGGTGGTGACACCGCTTGATCCAGTAGTGGTTCCGCTGCCTGATCCGCTAGTCAAAGTGGCAGGCCAGGCGGTATTTGTTGCAGAGCTGAAAGTACCGATAGCCGAAGTATATTGACATTGTCCAGGGACACTGCTAGCAGATGTCTCACCCCATGGTGCGGGAACGATGGCATTCCGACGCTCATTGGCGGTAAGTAGAGCTGCGTAGGACCAAGTCAGGTCGCTAGCTGAGAGTTGCGAACCATCTGACTTGGAGAATTGCTCGGACAAGGAGCCAGTGGACGGAGCGTATTGTTCCTAAGGTATCTGTTAGTGGAGGTGATCAACAATCGATAGCAATGTTCAGCATACCACAATGCTAACATATCCATCCGCATATTCCTTGACAGCGGCCACAATCGAAGAGTACGTATCACTGGACGAGGAGTATGTGCCAGTCGCAGCGGAGCTGTACAGATCCTGGAAAAAGCTCAAAGAGACAGAAGTGATTGTCAAAGAACCGATACGGTTCCACGTGTATATCGCATCATACAACTGCTCAGCTGCAGCCAAAGTGCACAGGTACCAAGGGTTACCATTGTAGTACGAGTCCTCTGGGTATCGACCAACAGAAACAGCCTTGCCCGCAGCAATACCGGAGTTGACAGAGTAGATTGATCGGAACGAATCAGTCACAACTTTGTGGTTTGCAAGTGCACGAGCTGAGCAAGGTTGGAATGTGGTGTCATCGCATCCCGCCTCCGGGTCGAAGGTTTCAATGCTGCCAAGCAAGGTGTTGGCGTCTTTCCCAGAGCGGCCGCCACCAAAGTTGGCCAGAATGTAAGATCCAGTCCAGAAAGACTGTAGGAAGCACAAG